TGTGTGTGTGTGTGTGTGTGTGTGTGTGTGTGTGTGTGTGTGTGTGTTTTCAAGGCTGACGCTCGGCGGGACAGCGCCACCCCTGCCCCGGAAATCTATGCTCCCAGGTTCCAGACCAGGCACTAAAGACCAGAGCCCAAGGTGGAAGCAGCCAATGGTTGGTATTGTTTTTGTTTCCTGCATCCCAGGATCAAGTCACGCGCTAAACTTGTCACCGCCGATGGCCCCTCCCCCTCCATTCCATTGTAATTAAAGTGGCCCAGCTAAATGCATTACATCACTTTTTTTCTTGACCTACAGGGCGTGAGCTATAGCGAAGTTGGGAGCGGCCCAAAAGCTTAGACCAACTAATTCTCGACACAGCTGTTCCTATATCAGGCATTAGGCGCTTTGAAGAGGACTAGTACGGCAGAATGCAGAGGTTTATTCAAACTAAATGGATGAATACTTTTTTTTTTTCAAAGAAAATTAAATCAGAGACACACAGATCAGTTATTCTTAACAGTTTGTCTTTCCCTGCATGCATGGAATTTCTTGTGGTTTCAGCTCATCCACCTGCATAATCTGATTCAACTAAATGCATTCACCCAAAAGGTCAGAGAAATGTTTTCAGCAAGAGGTTTCCCTTCTCAGATGATGAGAGTTTACTAGACTCTGCAATGGCCCAAATATTGGCCAATCATGGGAACTTACCCCTTTTCAAATAACCGAACCATTCAAACACATTGTGTGTGTGTGTGTGGGGGGGGGGGTAGCTACAGTTTGAATGTGTCTCTTGACTCCCAAATTCAGTCACTGTGAGGCCATTAGAGCCAATCAGCCAAGAGGGCTCCCTCCCTAGGGACTGGGAAGAAAACAGCACACAGAAATGGGTTAGTTTGTCCATGAGCTCCAGGAAACAACAGAACCAGCAGTGGATGTGGCCCATATGGCTGTAGACTTACTGGCCTGGAGTAAATGGCCTTTCTTTAAAAGTTAACCATTACAGCAGCACAGATAGACTGGGGTGGGGTTTTGATGTGCTGAGGACTCTTGCAGGTAGCTGAGTGAGAGAAATGCCAGCCATTCTGATGAGTCTTCGTTCCCAGCCCTGAGGGTGCTAAAGATATGCAAGGCTCTCTTCCCATGACCATATTGGTCTTCTCCCTCATTCATTAACTTATTTACATACCTGTTCATTGACAGGGCCCCATTAGGCAGCCCAGAATGGCCTGGAAGTCAAGAGCCTCCTGATTCAGCTTCTCAGGAAGCATAAATGGATTTGCTGGTTGGTCTGCATCACCAATCTGCCTCATCTTCATCTCCTGAGGAAGCACTAGACTTTTAGGCCTTTGAAAATGCTTAACATGTATGTTAAGCTTAACAAGTATGTTAAACATGTCAAGTATGTTTTTTTGCAGCATTATAATTTCTAAAAAATACAGTAACCCCTCCATGCTGAGGGTGGAGGAGGGCAACCTGGGGTCAAGTCTTCCTACCCTGAGAAAAATATGCATTAAACTCACAGTTAACTCTGCAGGTTTTCTGTCTGTTGTTTCTTGGTTTCCTATACATGTGGGCACTATCATGGGCACAGTTGGGAGGAGTTCAGTTCGTTCTCTCCTGTTTGGCTAACCCACAATAAAGATATTTTCCATTATCAATTTCCGTGTCCCACAGAGAGGCTGAGTTGTGGGGTTGTAGATGTGAATATTTAATGATAGTTTGGCACCTTCAGTAATAAAAATCAGCAAACAGAAAACAAAAACTGTAGTTACATTTATATATATATATATATATATATATATATATATGATACATATGACTTGCTTCTATAGATATATTTTTCATTTTCTGTACTAGCATTTCCTTCCTTCCTTCCTTCCTTCCTTCCTTCCTTCCTTCCTTCCTTCCTTCCTTCCTTCCTTCCTTCCTTCTTCTTTTAAAACAGGGTTTCTCTGTGTAGCACTGAGTACCCTAGAAGTAGCTCTGTAAGCCAGGTTGGTCTCAGATTCAGAGATCTTCCTGCCTCTAGCTCCTCAGTGCTGAGATTAAAGGTGTGAGGCACCACTGACAGACTTGTAACTAGCATTTTGTCAGACTCTACAAAGTCCTTTTAATACCATATTTGTAGAATTCTTATCCTGATCAAACATGTGGCTTGCTGGGTATGGTGGTGCATGTCTTTAATCCCAGCACTTGGGAGGCAGAGGCAGGTGGTTCTCTGTGACTTCAAGGTCAGCCTAGTCTATAGTTCCAGGACAGACCAGGACTTCTACACAGGAAAACCCTACCTTCTCTCAAAACAAACAAACAAACAAACAAACAAACCAAATAATCAACCAACCAAGCAAATGAAACAAAACAAAAACCCTTAAACAAACAAACAAAACATGTGGCTTGACACCAAAACTTCTACATGCTCTAAAGTGCAAATTTAGCTTAGCATTTCTTTAGTCTCTTGGCATCACAATACTCTTTTCTTGTGTATTACATACATTCAATAACCCACACATTCTTTCAGCAGAATGTCTATTACACCATGGCCTAGGGACAGAAATTGGACAAAACATAAAAATTAAAACCTCTGCCTTTAAAACAAAATTAATAATAATAAAACAAATTTGCAAAAAAAATGCTTAGAGAAAAAAATTGGACCCTGAGACCAAAGACACACATATGTATACACACACACACACACACACCAACCAAGCAAACAAAAAAAGAACCCTTTATTTTCTAGTTACTTGGAAGAAGTAAGACATATTTTACAGACTACCAGATAACCTACAGAAGAGCATTGCCCCAAATGAAGAAATTACAAGGAGTTCATGGTGACTTGCTGGTGCCAGGCTTCTAACAGGTTTGTAAGGGTCAGAGCCGGGGCCCCTAACATGCTATCAAGCCAGGTTTGACCACCCATCTTTGTAGACCAGTTAAATAGACAGAGGGAAGTGAAAAGAGAAAGGAGATTATTCAATACTGCTATATTATGAACCCGGACAAAGATGTTTGGTGACTTGTCCTCCTATCCCCCAGTCCATCTCCAGGGTCCTGAGGCTTAGGTTTAAATGACAGAGAGGAGGGATGCATAACGAAGCATCCCTGCTCAGGGTGTGTTCCTGCCAGTCATCACTGTCTCTGCTCCTGTCTGTCCTGCTGGGTGTTGGAGAAGTTATTAAAAGTTATTATGAAATCTATCCCTTAGGCACAAGTTCCTTTTCTGGCTGGCACCAGAATTCAGTCTTTTCCTTCCAGCATGAGATGTTGGGGGAAATCCTAATTTTGGGAGAACCATTATTTCAAAAGTATGACATTTAAAAGTGTGTGTGTGTGTTGGAGGCACAAGTTAGACTACCTGTTCTATCTTTTTAAACTACCTTCATTCTGGTATAAACATGGTGGTTATAATTCTACTCTCTGCACCTTTATTATAATGTGGCTTTGTAGCAAACAAATAATCAAATAAATCTCAATTAGGAGTGATCCACAGAGGCCCTAACTATTTTAACAATCTGTGAGAGAAACAAATATCTTTAATTTTCTATTTATTCTGTCTTAAAGCCCAAAGATGACTTCATTTCATATAAAGAGAAAACCAGGCAACAGATGCTTAGATAAGGGTGTAATGGAAGTTTTGGTTTCTTATGTAAATATGTTTTTGTTTTAATCCCAAGTGTGAGGTTTTAGTTTGGGCTTTAGTTTGTCCACAGCTGAGCATTGCCTCCTGCATGGTGTGGTCTTTGCCAGCTGGTGGTGGCTTTCCTTGTGTAGCATAAAGAGGGGCTCTGAGGATATAAATTGAGAGCCCAGAAAGAGAAAGCATGGCTTGTCATGGTATGATGTGTAGTAGTTCGAAGAGACCAGAGACAGACGGTGTAGCTGTTTGAAGCAGATGAACGGAGAGAAATGCATGGAGGACACTGCTGGCTGCATTTGCTGTTGACGGAGACAGGTATATCCCCCAAAGATCGATCGAACCTAAACAGCAGGAAGGGGCGAAGGGTGCTGCATCCTTCTCCCCACTAGCCCTTTCTCTCTCTCACTTACTTAGGGTTAGGGAATTGGTGGAAGGGAGGTAGGGGTGTAAATACCCCAAATAAAATGGAGTTTAAAAATGAGCGCTACATAGGAGTCAATGATTCAACTCTGTGTGTCTGTGTTGCCCTGGGCTTTTCCACTTCTCCCCAGATAGGAAGAACCAATACACAAAGGCCTCTGAATAACTAAGTAGTTTACTGAGCAGTACCAAGTTTGACTTAGGAGACCTTGTGAGGGTCATGAACTTGTCTTTGACAGTTCTTAACCCATCTCTGCAATTCATGGTTGTATATTTTTCTCCTAATCCTCTCTTTTCCCAGTTCTTTGAATCATCTTCTTGAGATTTTCCCACTCTTAGAAATATCGTGGACTCATAGGCAATATTTGTGCCTACACATCCTATCCCCCAAATATACTCATCCTTCATGACATAGGTCTCCCAGGAGCAAAGGGAATATGGCTGCAGAAAACTAGTCTTACTAGCCCTTCATCCTTGACAGTTCCCAGTATGTTTGGTCAGTAGAGATTTCAGTTCCAGTTACAGCAGAGGGAATTCACTAGGCAGAGTATTAAAAGGCTACTACTTCCCAGAAGAAGCTCACTGCTCCCCACTGAAGATAGCATCTTCATAAGGACTACAAATGCTCCCATCTTCCTCACCCTACCTGGAAGGATGGTAACTCTAAGAGGCTCCTTGGGATTTCTCCTATCTAGAGATAGAAGGTTGGCTACTTGGTATGGAAAAGGCTGGTATAGTGAAGATCTAAGTCTTTGTAGTTGCTTTGATATTGGATGTAGGATTCTTCCCAGTGGGGCCAAGGTGCCAAAAGCATCTGGAAAAACTAGATAGACCAGTCACTACAATGTCAGCTCTACAATTAACACAGCTCATTCATGCCATAAAATCCACTTTTTTTCCCCAGTTTTAAGTGGTTGAACAGACAGATCTACAGCCAGGACAATT